ACTCCTTGAATACCTAGAGCCAAGGGAGAACCTGCCTGAGGAAATAAGAGCTCAGAGTGTAGAGTGGGGAAGGATAAAATGACTTATTAAAATGGGTATGACTGCTTGATTACCAAGAGGGACTGGTGCTTGGCTGTTGCAAGCAGAATGGGTGTCCAGCACCCTGTGGTGTCCATGGGTCATCTCCCAGTGGTGGTGGTACTGAAGCCTCCAGCTCCAGAGGCTTGGAGGAAGAGTGTGGCTAGATGGACTGAAAGCCTTTGGTGTTTTTCCAGCTTCCATTTTAACAGCAGAAATGATGCTGAGTAGGGATATTTGCCCTCCTCTCCTTGGGTGCCATGTGCTGGGAGCTAACTGGGATGTGCTGGGCTTGGCTGTGCTGTAATATTTGAGCTAATCTTGCTTGATTTATGGAGCTCCTCAGGCTGTGTACAAGCTGAGGATGAAACGGTGCTGAGTGTGGGAAGAGCTCCAGGAAACAACAAACACCCATGGAGAGCTTGGGTTATTCTGCACTCCAGGCTGTTCTGGGGTTGCAATTCAAACTCAAAGTGCCTGATGTTCCCTTTCTGTGGGGAGGAGCTCTCCTCTTCCTGTCCCCTCCTGGCTCCTGAGGGCATGTGGAAGCCTGATAAAAGGTGTGTGAGATGCTGCTTTGATGGTGAGGTTCTTTTTGTCACTGCCTTATTTCCACCTGGAACATCCTCTCTACTCCAGCTTGTAACAGAACAAGTTCCTCTGCAGGAAATGTGGACATCACACTGCATCAGCTCCCACAGATCTTCTCCCAGTCTCCCCTCAAACTGGTAGAACCATTGCTCAGATATCCAGCCCAGGGTGGTTCTGGAATAGCTCCTCTTCTGCCAGCTAGACATCTGCTTGAGTAATGCTCCCTTTCCCAAGAGCCTGCCAGCTCCTGCTTTCCCCCAGGTCACGCTCAGGAGCACAGCACACAGAAGTGCAGCCACAACAACCTCCATCTTGACCCTTCCAAAGACCTTCTCAAGCTCTTGGCATCCTTGCCTCACTTTGGGAGTCAGCAACCATGTGCCACAATGAGTAAGGCCTTCTGCTGGTGTGGCCATAACCCTTAACCTGTCTGGGTTTCTCTAAGTGCTCCATCTGAGGAGATGACATCAGCCTCTTTCATCCCTTGCTGCTCTAATTGCACTGGAGCAGACGGGCATGGAAAGAGCATCCAGCCTGGAAGCTGTTTGTCCTTGCTGTCCTCTATCTTCCTGCCTTCTCAGATGGAAGAGTGGGAAAGCCTCCATCCATTCTTGCACTCTTCCTTGTCGAGCAGGCACCTAGCACATGCCCTCTGCCTCAGAGGGACAGCAGGTAAGGGGTCACTTCACCTCAAAACTGCTCCATCCCACAGCTGATGAGTCCCATGGGCCTCAGTTCCCAGATAAACATGTGGCCATGGGGGAAACCAGCTCTTCTAGGAGACTGGGATACACACAAGTCGCACCCTGTGTTCATGATGGCATAGGGTGACCTTGATGTTAGTGGGGATAGTGAGAGATCCTCCTCACAGGTAGCTCCAGCTTTTTCTGAGGGGCAGGTGGGGGATTGAACACTTATTCTGGGGTTTAGTCCCAAAATAATCTGTGCTCTGATGCTCACTGCTGAATGACTTGGTGAGAGAAGGAACCTGGTGGTGGATGCTCTTGCAACAGAGAGGCCTGTGTTCATGTCAAGGCAGGAGATGATTGTCTTTATCTGGAGAGCCCAAACTCATGACTTCTTCATGGAGCGAAAGATTTGATCCCACCAGGCAAGCAGTGGCAGGTGTCTGGCTCTCCTAGATCTCTGATCCATTGTGAATGGCTGTGCCAAACCTAAGCTGGCTGAGGATCAGTGTCCTCAGGACCTCAGCTAAGGTCCTGGCTTGAACAGATCCTGGAGTGGCCCTTGGGGCCATCTGTGGGACGTGGTGTCTGTCACCTTTTCTTAGAACAGGCTAGTTTAGTGGGGCTAAATCATCTAGTCCAGTGGCCTGCCAGTTCATAGCATCATCCTGGCTGGAAGAGACCTTCAAGATCAGCAGGTGTGACACCTCCTAAGGATGAGTCTATTTAACCTGAGAGCCTGCCCTTGGCAAGCTCACTTCCTGGGCTCAGTGATGTGAGAGTGATGTTCATTGCTGTGAAACAGATCCACACAACAACAAAAGCCTCCAGCATCACAGGGGACCTCAAGGCCTTGTAGCTCCTCTTGGCCTTGTTGCCTTCCCAAGTCTGTGGCTCGTGTGAAGTGCTCAAAGGACTTGTGGCTCCAGAAAGACAACTGAGTGTTGCCTAATTATTGTCAAAGGCTCACTTAGGAGTAAATGTTCTCTGTCCTGCTGCTCTGGGCCAGCAGAGACCTCTTCCTTATTTTCAGCAGGCAACTACATGACTTCTGGAGCTGGCCTAGGCTGGGAACTGAAGGATCTGTTCAGGTTGCAGGGGTTGCTATTGGCAGCTTGCTACAAGGCACCTGTTGGAGGGCAGGGGGGGGTTATTTCCTATTTTTATGAAGACTGGAACCACTCCTGAGCTCTCTGTTCTGGCTTCTGCACAGCAGAGGCCTCTACATCAGCTGTCCTGGGCTCTGAAGGCAGCAGAGCTAGTCTGGTGTGGAAGCCTTGTGAGATTGGCTTGAGGATAAGAACCCAAAGGTGCTGTGAGTGCTGCTGGTGTCACCCTGTGACTTGTGCCTTCATGACTGAACCCCCTGGGAGTGGTGATGCTGGGTCTCTGCTGGGGTGACAGGACTGGGGAGCTGGGGGACAATAGAAGTGTGAGGCCAGGGCCATGATCTCCTGCTCTTTGTGTCAGCAGGCCAGGCGTGGGTCTCAGGTTGCCCCTGCACTCTTCACCCTCAGACAGCTTTGTGTCCCCAGGGCTGTAGGGGCAAGCTCCTGTGAGATGGTCTTGCTGGATGATCTGCTTCTTGCAGAAGCCACCATCTTCTCTCTGTTAGCCAGTGGCATTTCCCTGCCTGGCTGAGGGGTGATCAGCTGGAATCAGATGAGGACTCAGGGTGTTTTCTGTTTTGAAGTCACCACGTGGTCCTTCCAAAGTCCAGGTTTCCTGTAACTCAATGAGTTTTGGGGCTCACAGTGGCTTGTGCCACACTTCTGTACTTCTCTGGGCTGGTGTAGGCCAAGACAACAGGGTAGAGGGGTTCAGAGACAGCTCGTGCTGTGCCCATCAGTTGGGGGGCTGGACACCTCCCTCTGCTTCCCCACCGAGAGCTTCTGGAGTTCACCCCTCCCTCAGACCAGGGCAGTGGAGCCAGATGGTGAAGCTGGCTCTCAGCACAGGGCTGCTGGAGCTGTCCCACACCCCATAGGAGGGCTTTCAAATGTTTGAAACGACTAGAAGGGATCAGACAACCCTCAAATCCCAAAATGTCTCTGGAAATCCTGTCGGCAGGAGCCTGGCTTCTGAAGTGCCATTGCTCTCTCAGTGCTGACTGGAAGGCAGGAGCCAAGGAATCTCTTCAGGAGAAGAGCTGACTAAGGATGCTGTGTAAGCAATGAGTGCTCCTCCACCACAGCCCCTGTCTGGAAGCTGCCAGGGAGCACTTCTTGCAGAAGCAGTGAAACTAACCCTCCACAGCTGGGCAGTGGGCTGTTGCTGCCCCTGTGCCTGCTGCATCTGGCTAGATGGGTCTCTGGCTCTTCCCAAGTTCCTTCAGAGTCTCTGGTCGTGACACAAGCTTTGTCTGTGACTGAATGACCTCAGCTCTGGGATCCTTCCTGCTGGGGTCTGTACCAGCATCTGCATTCTCCACAGAGCAAAAACCAGTTCCTGGTGTGGCTGTACTGGGTTGGTGTGACCAGGAAGGTCCACGTGGCTCTGCCACCATGCTGCTTGTCCTGACCCTATGTGAGCACTGCTGGATTGTCTGTCTGTCTGTCCCCTTGCAGCAGCACTGCTGTGCTTGCATCTGAGCTGTGACTTGGGAATGTCTGCACCTTCCAAAGCTTCACTGGGCTAGATGTCTGCTGAGGAGCAGCTGAGGGTGCTGAGCCTGGAGCAAAGGAGGCTCAGGGGAGACCTTCTGGCTCTGCACAGCTCCTGACAGGAGCCTGGAGCCAGCTGGGGGTCAGGCTCTGCTCCCACAGAAGAAGAGATAGAAGAGAAGATAGCTTCAAGTTGCCCCAGGGGAGGTTGAGGTTGTCCCTGAGGAACAATTTCTTGCCCTTGAGGGTTGCCCAGGGCTGTGCCAGGCTGCCCAGGGCAGTGGTGGAGTCCCCACCCCTGGAGGGGTTTCCAAGCTGTGGAGATGTGGTGTGAGGGACATGGGGCAGTGGGAACCTGGCAGTGCTGGGTCAGTGGTTGGACACAATGATCTTCAAGGTGTCTTCCAAGCAAAACAACTCTGATTCCAAGTCCTGCCCCTGTACACCTCAACAGGAGCCACCTAGCTCTACCATCTCATTACACTTGTCTGCCAAGTGTGCTGTGCAACTTCCACCTCTGGAGGACTTCCTACCATCTCGGAGTTGCTTTTCAGGTGTATTTGGCCTAAAAACATCTTCAGGGTGGAGGAGCTGTGAGCTCCAAGTGGTTGTCACAGCCTGCAGGTCCATCATCCAGTACCAGAGGGCCATTTTCTGTCAGCTGGTTGTCTTGCTAAAGCACAGCAGCTGAAGCTGCCTTCTCTAACAGGGAAATCAAGCAGGACTGAGGTCCTCAGATAAGCAGCACAGAATAATGGGCAAAGAAGATGTGGTTGGGAGTCATCTTAGTGACTACTGGGTGTTCAACTCCCTGGTTTTTGTGGAGTCCTTGTCACATCTGGGGTATTAAATATGTTTATGCCTGTTGGATGCCTACAGCTGGGTTTGGCTCTTGCAGGGAAGAGTTGTGGTGTGTTTTGTGGGTCCAGATGGATAATGGAGAATCCTTTGAGGTGTCCAGCTGGATGCTGGCTCCTTGGTGTGTGTCTTCAGAGGAGACCAGCAGGCCAGGTCCAGTAACACTGCAAATCTTCTCCCCTAGGTCATATTCAAAGTGAGATGTGCAGCCGAATTCAACAAGTACAAGTAAGTGACACTGCCCTTGATGTGGCCTTCAGAGCTGGAGCACTGTGGACTCCTGCTGCAGGGCCAGGGAGGGACCTTCAGCCCCCCAGGGCCAGCAGTGCTGGTGCCAGACCATGCTCTGACAGAGGGCCAGTGTTGTGCCTTGAGGTGCCAAGGAACCTGAAGCCCGTGCTACAAACCTCCACATCCCAGTGCCTGTGCTGCTAGAGAACAAAATGACCTCTTGAGGTCACCCTGAGCTGTCCCACCCTGGGAAAGATCTAAGCCTTGAGCAATAGGTGGGATTTGGGCCTGTGCAGCCCAGGAGCTTCCCAGCCATTTCCAGGGAAGCCCTCAGTGGGGAAGACAAGCTCCAGTGGCTTTCAAGAAGGAAGCTGCAGTGGTTGGGATGACTCACAGCTTATTGACTGGAGTCAGTGCAGAGCTGGAGCAGCACTTAAAATCTGTGAGATAAGGACCTGACTGTCAGAAGATGAGGCTTGGAACTCATGGCTGCTTGCACTGCTTGGGTGTTAGGAGAGCAGCTCAAATAAACAGCTCTGCAGACTTAGGCTGTCAGTAAAACCACTGGGAGGTCCAGTCTTTAGAGCAAGCAGAGCACTGGGTACACTGGGAGGTTCTCTTGCCTGATGAGACAGAAGGGTGGTGCAGAATGAACCCAAAATTGCCTCACTACAACTCCCTTTTCCCTCCCCCTGTCTCCCCAGGGTCCTGTTGTATCTGGGCTCCATATTTACCAGCCTCCTCTTCTTAGTTGTGAACTTAACCTGTGCAATGCTCATCCATGGTGGAGTCCCAGCCAGCCAGCTGAGGTGGACAGTCCTTGCCCGTGCCCTGGTCAACGACAGCCTCTTCATCCTCTGTGCCCTCTCTCTGGCCTGCTGCATGTGCAAGCTGGGAAAGATGTCTTCAGCCAACGTCTACCTCGAGTCTAAGGTAGGGGGTACCTTGGCAGCTACCCTGGAACTGCACAGTCACCAGCTGGTTCTCACCCCCACCTCTGGGTGCTTACCTGGCACGAGAGGGACATGGGCCTGTTTGGAGCAGGGCCAGAGGGGGCCACAGAAATGACGCCAGGGCTGGAACCCCTCTGATGGGAGGCCAGCAGGAGAGAGCTGGGCTGGGGCAGCCTGGAAAAGGCTCCAGGGAGACCTCCTTGTTGCCTTCCAGGACTGTTGGGACAGGACATGGGGTGACTGTTTTAAAGTGAAAGAGGGAGATTTAGACTAGAGAGAAGGAAGAAATTTTTGCTGCTGAGGGTGTTGAGCCCCTGGCCCAGGCTGCCCAGAGAGGTGGTCGCTGCCCCATCCCTGGAACCATTCCAGGTGAGGTTGGCCGGGGCTCTGAGCAACCTGCAGGAGGTTGGACCAGATGGCCTTGATAGGTCCCTTCCCACCCAAACCCCTCTGGGATTCCACATCTGTAGCTGAGAAGGGCCACAGTGTAGGATCTGCCTGCAGTCCAAGAGCAGAGCCTCCTTCTCCAGTGCCAAATGGCTTCAACCTCCCTGTTTCTCAGTGGGAGCAGCCACCTCACCAGGCCCCTCTGGCCTTGCTGTGCTGTCCTGGCTCAGCGGGTCCACAGCTGGAGCTCAGGGGGCAGGAGAACCTCTCCAGGCCTTTGTGCAAGGCTTCTGCTCCTCCCCACCCCTTGTTGCAGCTCCTCAACACCACCGAGTCAAGGGGCTGCCTCCAAGGCAGGGAAGGGAGGCAGGATGTGGGTAAAGGAGCCCTTTACCTGGCCGTGGGGTGGAGCAGCCAGCCCCAGAGCAGGCTCCTCAGAGCACGTGGGGAGCAAGGCCACACGGGCAGCCTCAGGCTGCCAGCTCCAGGGAGCTGCTGCACTTGTCAACTGCTGCTGGGTGAACTTGATAAGTTAATTAGTGTCCAGAGCCAGTCAGACCTGGGTACGTGGCCTGTGTGAGTAGGTTCTCATCTTAGTCATAGCTCCTCTGTCTCACTTCAGATCATTTGTGGACAGTTGTCACCATAGCCAGCTAGGCAGCCAGTTCCAGCTCCCTGTGGCCCAAACACCAGGCTTCTGGGCCACCACTGATGCTCTCAGCTGCTTAAGAGACCCAAATTCTCCTGCAGAAAGCCTCATCTCCAAGGCAGCTCAAGCACACACTTAATTGCAGCCTACTGCCCTGCCAAGATGAGGCTGCTGGTGGCTTATCCGCCTTCCTACCTTCTGGAGAAGAGTTGTGTCCCTTCAGCTCTCCTGCTGCCTTCGGGCAGGGCCTACAGCAACTTCTCCTTACCTTCTGAGGTGCTCATCTCACCCAGGGCAGTAGAGCACTGCCTGGGGTCCAAGCAGGTCATCTGCAGGTAATTGTTCTGCCTCTGCCAGAGTTAAGAACATGCTGTGGACTTCACTGTCCTCAGTGATGACAGGCTGCAGAAACTGTCTCTGCTCCTCTTGGGGAGTCCTCTCTTCCAGGCAAACCCTAAATTATGCTTCTAAAGCCAGACAGCATCAGCAGCTCCTACATCTCCTGTTGTGCCAGCAAAGCTGCAGACAGCATATTCCCTGAAACCCTCGGGGTGCTTCAATCCTAGAGCAGGTTTGTGCTTTCTGGAGGGAGGACTCCAAGAGCTGCCACACTGGAGGGAGTATTGGAGCAAGAGTAGCTCAGGTGCCACCAGGGCAGTGTTGCTCTTGAGATAATCATAGGATCTTAAAATGGTTTGGGTTGGAAGGGACCTTTTAAAGGTCGTCTAGACCTGCTGGTGAAGAGCTTCCTCCCCAACGTTTCAGCTGCAGTGCTCCATGAGGTACCTGAAGGCCATGGTATCTCCATTTCCTGGACAGCCAGCCATGGGAGAGGAGGCCCCTTGAAGGCCTGCAAGTGTCTGTTTCACTGCTAAACACACCTGTGAAGCCATTGAATGGCTTCTGGTAGCCACTAAGGCAGTAAGTGGGTGGACAAACCCATCTCAGCAGTTATGGTGAGGCAGACAACTGCTCAGGAAAGCTCATCTCAGTGACCTGCTCCACATCCAAGCTATGGCTGTGCCAGCTCTGTCCTCCTGGCTGCACAGCACTAGCTCAAGGTGGTGTCATGGAGGAGTCAGCCGGCAAAAACAAGGCAGAGCAGAGCCTCGTTTGCCCCACAGCAGTGCTGACACTTAGGTGCTGGGTCTTTCTGCTGGTTCTCAGAGTTGCCCACCCCAAATATCTGGTCTTCTCCCATACACAACCATTGTGTTCCATGCCAGAAGTCACAGCTTTGGAGGAAGAGCTGCCTTAAAGCTGGTTTGGTGTTCTTTTTTTCCTCCTCTTGTAGGGAACATCTGTCTGCCAGGCGATTCTTGTGGGATCTGTAGTCGCTCTGCTGTATTCCTCAAGGGCTTGCTACAACCTGGTAGCTGTGGCCATATCTCCAGACAATGTTCCTGGTCCTTTTAACTATGGCTGGGACAACCTGTCAGATAAGGTAAGTGTCTGTGACCCCCCCCAACCCCCAGTCCAGAGCTGGTGAAGTGAAAGTCTCCCATCCTGGGAGGGGTTGTAGAGGTGAAAAGGAATTGGGGGGATCTATTCAGCTGAATCTCTGGGGTTTATCTTCAGAAGAGCTGTCTCCACCCCAGCAGCCCTGACTCTTCCTCTGTCCAGCTGCTCCTTCAGGAGGGGGTTCCCTGTTGTGCTCTTCAGTCTTAGCCTCCCAGCTCTTCTTTTGGGGGAGAGGAGGAACAAGTCAACTAGAGCAGAAGATTGACACTGAATGGGGCATGGCTGCGTGCAGGGGAGAGTCGTTGGTGTGGAAACAGAACCCTGGTAGCACCCTGGAGAAACCACCCTACTAAAACCAGTAGCAGCAGCCAGCTAAGGGTCACTCTTCAGGTGCAGGGACTCCTCCCTGCATCAGGGCTTCTCTGCATTCCTAGATCTGTGTGCTTCACCCAGCTTGGGTCACCGTGGCTCTGCTGACGGCCAGAGTGACCCAGAGCCCTCTCCCTTGTGTCCGCAGGCGCACGTGGAAGCGAGCAGTGAGGAGTACGTGGTGTTTGGGGTGGTCCTCTTCCTCTGGGAGCTGGTGCCCACCACCTTTGTGGTGCTCTTCTTCCGGGCGCAGAGGCTGAGTCAGAACCTGGTAGGGCTGAGCTAGCTGCTGTGGCTGGAGGAGCTCTGGGGCAGGAGGGCTGGTGGAAAATCCCTCACCTCCCTCCTTTCTCCCCCGGCAGACTCCAGCAGGGATGGTCAACAGCCACAGCTACAGCTCCAGGGCCTATTTCTTCGACAACCCCCGGCGCTACGACAGCGACGACGACCTGTCGCGCCTCGGGGCCAGGGAAGGAGGGTGAGTGCCAGTGCTGGGCGAGGGGGGGGCGTGGCTGCCAGCCCGCCCAGTGTGGGAGCCATGGGGCTCTCAGCTCCTGCTCCGAGGGGAAAAATGTGGTGCAAGAGGCAGCTTGGGCAATGATCCTTCTGAGCCAGCTTGGCTCTGCCTCCTGCGGCTGACAGAGAGACGTTGTCAGAGGCAGAAGTGACCAGTGGGCGGGTGTCACGCTGGGGGCTGGGAAATGGGCAGTGGCTGCAGGCAAGAGGGCTGGTGTTGGTGGGATCCTTCAGCTGTGGTGGCGGAGGGCTCCTCACTGCCTTCCTCCAGAGCAGCTTCTCTGCTGGAAAGAGAGAGGTGGTGAAGTTCTGGGAGAGAGATGGTTCCTAGGAGCCAACTGGGACCAGGCTCTGCAGGTGTCGGGGAGAATGGTCAGGTCTCCCTGGCAAAACCTCAAGGGGAAACCTGACAGCCCTGTCCATGCCTGGGGGTCTGAACTCTACCTGCCAGGGGTGTAGTGTGGAGTTTGGAGGTTCTGGCTCTTCTTGACCAGTGCTGTAGGGCCCGTTGCTCTTCTCCTCACACTGATTTC